TAATGAGTCACAAGGAGCTGGAGGTAAAGGAATGCCGGCACTGTGGCAGATGGTTGGCAAAAACCTGGCAGCGTCTGCCTCCCTTTCCATGAGTYCAGCACCCACACGGCTGCCAGCTCTCCCACGTGTTTACTTTCCTCCCGGGACTCAATCTGCACACTTATTTGCTGAGAGGAAGATCGCTTCTCACCTCAGATTTCTCCCTGAGGCMGGAAGCTTTACATCAGGGTCTTTTTAGGAGCAGCCAACTCCAATATTCCCAGTGTGGATCTTTTAGATTTTTTTTATCTGTGCTTTGAGAGGAAGGTCATMTATAAATTTACTTTAGTGAGAGGAAATGCCAAAGTCTGAAAACAAGCAAGTTGACTGAACAAAACAGTGATCCCCTTAAATACATCCTCTAATCTGTTTGATAAAAACATTACTGGCAGCAATGTCTGCACTTTTAATTTAACCTTTATTAGAGATGGACAGTGACGTTTTTTTGATTATAACTCAACACATTTTAAGGATATTGATCTATAATTTGATTTCGTAGTAGCTGAAACTGAGATGAGATCCTTGTTTAAAATTTTGCCATTAATTATTCAGGGTCAACTCTATACGTTAACAAAACAACATATATATTTGACCATTTTATTAAATCTTTCAGGAATTTATCCATGTGTGAATGGTCACAGCTGATCAACATTTGAGGCTAAACCAATTCAAGATGGCCACCACAGCCGACTGACCTTAGAAAACCCAGATATTATTATATTTCACTCTATCTTAGACATTTTTTAAGAAAGGGGCAGATATTAATACGAATCTTTTTCTTCTTTCTGCTACCTTTCATTTTATTTGTGTTTTGTATTATTAGTTGCTGTATGTGTAGCATTTGCTTTGTTTTTAAATGAAATTAAGAATTTTTTAATAAAAGAATTTAAAATAAAACATTCTACTATATTTTTATGCGTTGCACTGTACAACGCAATGAGTGGACTTTACCCGTAACAATTATGAAAACTCATTGCCTCAAAAAACGTACATTTTTAAAATTTAAAAATTTTAGTCTGTGTAATTTGCACAAAACAAACTGGATCATTTTGAAAATGGTGTAATTACATAAATAGACACATAGCATTTGCCTGCAGAAACAAATTTTTAGATTTTTGAGCTGGTGTAATATATCAGAAACATGATGCCAAATGTTACTGGACTGCTTTGATTATTTTTGCTTTCCTCCTCTGTCARGCAGTCAGCAGTCTGCGGTCGCACCTGTTCTCACTAATTGTGCCAGAAATCTCTTGGTTTTCCACCAAACTGGTCCTCGTTCTAGGCACGCTCGCAAGCATTTCCTGTATTTTTCCTCCTCAGCTCAGCGAGTCGAGCGGGTTGGCTGTGATTAGATGCACTGGTACATGCTTTGACCCAGTTCCCATGGCTCCACGTCCACATCTTGGGACTGAGGCCGAGATTTTAATAACTGACACCAACAAAAATGCTCCTTTTTATTTTTCTAGCAAACGTAAAAAATAAATGAAAACGCTATTTTGTATGTGTTTTTGTTCTGGCTTGCTCATTAATTTTAGATGAACTAATGAAGGTCTTTGACTCTTAGTAAAAATAGGTTTACTTTTGTTGTTTGCTACTCATATTGGCATAGTTTGGGCACAATCACCGGAAGAGCTTGTGCAGACAGGAACTGGAAATGCTGGGGGTGCTGTGGTACACAGGTGGAGTTCAGTCTCAGTTTAAGAGGTCACAAACTCTGTCCAAGCTCTCACGCCCTGTCAGAGCAGGAAGTGCATGTTATTCTTCAACATGAGACCAGTCAGTGTGTGTTTTAAGCGTCTAAATTCATGGTTGATTGATAAATTTTCAAGGCATGTGGAGCTGTAGGGGCAACAGCTTTACAGAAAAAATAGGAGTGTTTCCAAGCTGTGCTGACTCCATGTTATTGCAACTTCCAGTGCTTTGCTCTTTTGAGCTAACGACTCATTCACTCCTCCGACTGAGCGGCTTTATCTGCCTCACTGACTCTGCAGCTCTGCAGCTCTGCCCTCACTTGCAGAGGAGCTGAGTCCATGTCTGCCAGAGTCACAGTGGGATGCACCTCAGCAGGAACCAGCATATTGAATCGCTGGCTTTTACGTGCTGCAGTTAAATGGTCTTTTAGATCACGTGTCAGAGAGACYGCCACGAAAACGCATACAGATGTGACTGAATCCGGCCCTGAATGAGTCTCCTAAACGTGACACATAAAGCAGTTACAACAAAATGTGTGCAGTGCTTGTGAGGTCACCGTTAAAAAAGATGCTAACCTCAACAGCTGACAAGTCAAAGATTTGTTATATAAAGCCAGCATGAGCTAATGGCAGCTAATTTGTATTTGCTTGTTGTGCATTTTTATCTTTACAGAGCAGAAAAAACAGAAGTGCTGAGTGAAGATCTCCTACAGGTGAGCTGCAGAACGAGAGTTTTGTGATAAACTCAGTTAACTATTAGCATAGCGATAGCATTCATGTTGTTTTCTTTTTGTAYATGTGAATTACTGGAACTCAACAGAGTCAAAAAATTGTTTTAGGGCCAGAAAACGTCGCCTTTTTAAACAAGATGCATTTTCACTTAGACATGCAACGTATGTTGATTTAATTTATTCTGTAAAGTAGCTCTCAAGTGTAAGTTTTACAATGCTTCATAAGAGCAGGGGCGGAGCTAGACATTTTTTGCATCGGGTGGCACAGGGGTGGCCAAGATGTTTTTAGGGGGTGGGCACATACAAATAAATAAAACTACTCTGGTTTTGAAAATTCAATATGGTCTCCACAYCTAACTTTAAATAACTCGAATTCAGTTGTTTGAAGAAATATTGAGCTGAAATTTTCTGTGTGATCATACCCAAGAATGATCCCATGAAAAAACATGCTAGCTACTAATGCTAATGCTAATTTCGCAAAGCGCTTTAGTTTAGCCATTTTTAAACACACACAGTTGAAAATTAGCCCGGCAGTAATAATCTTTTACAATCTGGTTTCAAATACAAAAYCCAATATGGCTGCCAAAGCTGATTTCAACTGGCTATAACTCAGCCATTTTTWWAAAAATACTGAGCTGAATGAAGTGGTGGTAGRCAAACGCAATCCCCATGATGCACAAAAAGCTAACCCAGCTAACAAAAAGAAGTTTGTCATTAAATGTCCAACTTTGAAATGCCACATGCAAACTCCACCCCACTTGTCAGTCATTATGTGGGTAGCACCTGGGGTGGCCWATCAGGTGCCACCCTGGCCGCCCCTCCGGCTCTGCCCCTGCGTAACAGGAATAGATGTGTTGTTGTGAGGCCGGGGTTGATGCGRCTCCTGTCCCCGGTGTGCTCCTACAGGTAGAGAAGCGTCTGGATCTGGTCAAGCAGGTGACACACAGCACTCACAAGAAGCTGACCGCCTGCCTGCAGGGTCAGCAGGGGACTGACACGGAGAAGAAATCTGTCAAGTCGCCTGCCGTGAGTGCCTGTCTCCCAACACAAACTGATAGAAAACAAAATGATGGTGACGTTTGAGTAACGGTATTCCTCTGTCTGATGGCAGAAAAAGCTTCCGCTCACAATCTTGGCACAATGTATGGAGGAGAGCGCGGCGGTGTTGGGAGACGACTCGCTCCTAGGGTGAATAACTACTYACTGACATTTAAACCAAATAGGCTAAAACATATAAGACAAAACCGTAAACTCTGGATTTAAAGTCAGCAGGTTATATTCCTCCAAGGAATTCAACCCTATTGATCTAATTATCTTTTCTGTCTTTCCTGATTTGATCTGCATTTCGCTGCGCGGGACTCCCATGCGGCTGCCACCCAACAGAAAGATGCTGAAGCTGTGTGGAGAGACAGAAGACAAGCTGGCCCAGGAGCTGCTTCAGTTTGAGCTCCAYACTGAGAGAGAGGTGGTGGAGCCGCTCTATGTGCTCGCAGAGGTGGGGAAGCGCTGCCCTAATTAAGACATAATGTGCTCTGAATACAGCATGACTGCAGAGCTGCACTTCAGTTTTCATCATTAGCAGCTTACATTTGTTTATCCGTGGTTAAAACTCTAATAAACYTCTTGTAGGTGGAAATCCCCAACATTCAGAAACAGAGAAAACACTTAGCTAAACTTGTCTTGGACATGGACTCGGCACGAACAAGGTGAAAGTCCTTCTCAGTTATATGTCTATAATGTAGAAAATATGACACATTGTCAGTAGTTTTATTGTCTTGGCTCCACAGATTTCATCAGTCATCTAAGTCCTCCAGCCACCCAAGCACAATGCAGCCCGGCACCAAGTCAGAGTCCCTGAGGGAGGAGATGGAGGAGGCAGCCAATCGGATGGAGATTTGTAGAGTGAGTCACCAACCAAAGCAAATCATTTATCATTTCCTCTCCTACTACGTCTCTATTGTCCCTTTGATAAATAAACCCTGTGCATGCATCAGACACAAATGGACCACATCACAGTGATGTTTTATTCTAATTTCCAGGATCAGCTGTCAGCAGATATGTACAATTTTGTGGCCAAAGAAATAGACTATGCAAACTACTTCCAGACAGTAAGTTACCTGAAAATAATATGTTTTTTTTCTGGATTGCTCACGTCGCAATAAACATTGTGGATGATAATACAGAAACCTGAGTAAATATATGTCACTGATTATTTGTTCTAATRCCACCTCCTCTTTTCTTCCTGCTGCAGTTGATAGAAACGCAGGCAGAATATCACAGGAAGTCATTAGAAATTCTTCACAGTGTCCTGCCCCAGATTAAAGCTCACCAAGGTGAGTCATGCACTGWGTGGAGGGAGAACAGATCCGCTCTATTTCAGCACCTGAAGCATTAACAGGATGCCATGTAAAAAAAAGAGAAACTATCCCTTGACGTGTCACATAAAAAAAATTAACTGAACCATGATGGGTGCATGATTATGTAATAAAACAGAAAGATGAGGATGTAATTGTGTCTACCTTAGGGTGAGCAATGGTATCACTCACAGTGTTTTAGTTAGTTAATGGATTTTGCAATGTGCTTTTAAAACAGGAGGCTGTAATTCAAATATCAATAAGTTCCACACAGTTTGCATCCCCACATTAGAATAAGGGGGAGGAGCTGCTTCACCTGCTCTATTGAGAAGACCCCTATAAACACGATATTTTAAGTTCTTTAACGGGACCCTGTTAGTTGTAACATTAGACTTTATTTGATAAACATATATTTTAACTGTAAAATAAAGACTATAAAAGTACTGTAGGCTGTTTAGTTTTGTAAA